TATCCAAAGCCAGGATGCGGCAGCTCCATGCTTACTTCTGAAATACTGACCTTGCTGTCTAAACGTATATGAGCACAGCATGGAGTTTTCTTTGGAAGTCTACGCTTTATTAATTACCACCTATTATTTTTCAGAAACAGTAGTCTATGTAACAGGTATATGTTAGTCTTCATAAATCTATTTTGGAGCCAACAGTCAAACAGCTGTGTACAAGAGAAAACATTGCTTCTGAATAAATGGCTATGTCCATACAAGATCACAAGTTGCACTGATCACTGCTTCCGTGACATATGTCTTCTCATTTTTTGTCAGCCTACTGAGCAAGCTTCAACACAGCCTGCTGAGCAAGGCACAACAGCATCACAGGCATGAAATTGTGCACTGAGGTGAAATTCAAAATATACTATTAAAATAGAAAATGAAGCCAAACAGAATGTAACAGAACAAAACGCCTGTTGCTTTCCACTGGCTAAAAATATAATTTGTAAATATACCTTGCTGAAAGAGGAGTAAATACCTCTTACAGCATCTCTGAGTTAAGTTACTCTGTTGCATTATTTGCTGTCTTGAACTACTTAAGTTAGCATACCTTCAAAGAAATAGGGCAGAGGGGTGAGTCATCATAAGTTAGTATCATCAAAGCAGCTGCAGTTAACAGTTCCGGTACTTAAAATTGGTGGTTCCAATTCTTCCATTTCACTTGAGCTATGCTACATATAATTTTGTTTGCTTTTTCACATGATCACAGAATTATTGAGACTGGAAAAGACTTCTGAGATCATCAAGTCCAGCCTATGACCTAACACTACCACATCCACTAAACCATGGCACTAAGTGCCACAATTTTATCCCATTTAAATATCAGAGACATCAATCTTCTACAAACAAGTGAGAGAAACAAGCTAGGCTCACAAACATTTAAGATTATGGAAACTTTACCTGGCTCCAGTGGATCATGTTCTGTACAGATGTCCCAGCAGGGCAGTGAGTTGAATACACATCCACTCGGCTCTGCCACAAAATAATTAATGTAATTTACTCCACAAAGTGCAACAACGCAACCATAATTGGCTCTTGAACAACTGAGAGAAATTTTGTCGTTCCTCTCAAAACTGTTATAAACAAAAGTTAATTAGAGCCATATATGTAGATAAGGTAAAATGTTCAAATGTCTGGAGTTCACTTATGATTGACTGCAGAATTCCAAAGCAGAACTTTAAACTTGATAATGATATCCCTTAACAATTATATATATATATATATATATTCAGAATATCTTTTTTAAAGTGCTAGCGTTGTAATAGTTGGGGGCACATTAACTAATATTTAGATGGATCTTCAGAGACCCTTGCTTTACCCGACACTTAAACTAGTAGCTGTGAGTGCAAAGTGATTCAGACTTAGCACACTTTGAGTTTAGAAGTAGAAAATACCCAGGGGAAACTTAAATCCTGGAAGAAAACAAAAATATTATCCACCATTAAAATCATGAAAACTGTATGTGCTGGGTAAGAAAACACAAAAACCTGCACTTTTGGGCTAATAATAATGTATTATTTTGCACACAGCATGGTGAAAAAATAATGTTAATTCTATCTCAATCCAATAAAAACATCCTCAGTCTTCATCCACCTGTGGGTAAACATACTAGCTTCTCCTGATTTCAGGGAGTTAGAAGCACTTTAAGAAACACTATGAAAAAAGGCCATCTCAAGCCAGTTGCTGTTAACTAGTTTTTGGATAACAAAACAAGTCATGTGAACAAGTCCTTTGGAACTAGAATCACAGATGAAGCCATCAGCACAGTCAGAAATTGGTCTCAGAGAAAAGAATTGCATACATCCACCAAGAGACAGAGACCAGAAAACTTCAACAGCTCTCTTGAAAACTGTATCTTTATTCCTCACTTTGTGCACAAGGAATTAAACACTTGCACTATCGTATTAATTCACTTTTTTCATCCACTTGCCCAAGAGATCTAAAATAATGTATTTTAGCTTTTCAGTATCACTTGAAAAGATTAATTTTATCCGTCTAAGTTGTGCAACTATATTTATACCAAAGGAAAATATTAATCCAAACCCAGTATGGTAAAGAAGGCATGAGGGTTTTTTTAACTGTATGTAAAGGACAATCATTACAGTGACACACAGTACTCTGTTAGAGTTCACAGTAACTCAGCTATTGAAAGTAACCAAAACTCACCATATTCAAGTTTCTCTCATTAAAACCACACAGAAGAAAGAATATGTTGCCACAAAGGTCATCAAGTATTCTGTGAGTGCAAACATGGGTAGCAAGCCACTTCAGTAAATAATTCTGAGGGAGGAACTGTTTCTTTCCAAACATGTTCTACAGAATAAGAAACACATAGGACAAACACGTAATTGCACAGAATGACCTGGGTTTACTTTTTATTCTACAGCATTCTTGAGGTAAGTATTTTTCTTTGCACTGGTGACAGGTCTGTCACACTAAAATTATTTATCTCCTTATCAACCTTGTTTACAGTCCAGTGGAAAGGTCACAGATAGTGCTTCTGCTAAAAATGATGCAGTCCATTACTGCCACTAAAAGTACATGAGAACTGTGACCATCAGTAAAGATATGTAGACCTAACCTCAATTTCTTATCAGTTTTAAATCCAGTATTTTACAGGAGTACTACTCATCTTATCATAGGAATTGTTTAAGACTAAAATGTTTAAAGCTGCATCTGCTAATGTTAAATGGCTTTGTACTTGCAACTTCCTCTCTTCAAACCATGTAAGAAAAACAAGTTGCATAAGCTATGGTAGCCACCTCCTCCTGAGAGTATTTTTAAAATGTCCAAGAATTAGAAAATGGCCCACATAGCTCTCTAAAAATATAAGTGACCCATGGGTTTGCCTCTGTCTTCTGTACTCCAGTTTTTTGCAAGTCACCATGAGAATCAAGTTCCTCAGCACTGATCAGCGTTGATCAGCTACTATCCTCATTAGACAAAGTTCATTACATGAGGAGCAAGAGATACTAACAATTGTTAGTATCACTTTTGTGCATTTGCCTTTGGATCAGGGAACTAATCACACAGAATCACACACAAAATCTTAGGAGTTGGAAGGGACCTTGAAAGATCATCTAGTCCACTCCCCCAGCCAGAGCAGGTTCACCTAAAATAATGCAAACACATAAGCATTTAATCTGTACAAGGTGCATTACAGAAGGATTTATCTCAGGAACAAACAGCCCTGTGGGTGAACGTCCATGGGTGGTGGGAAGAAAACTGATGATTAAAAACGACACACAGCAAGGTGTTCACAGTGCCTGGCTTCAGGGATATATTGCAGCTTGCCATTCCACCTACATTCCCTTTGATGTTTCCTTTGATGGGGGAAAGTAAACTCCTCCAGAGGATGATTCACAGCATCTAAATTAAGCTACTGCTCTTAATCACCATCTGAAGGATCCTCTTGTATTGCTAAATGGTTAATCGTGCAACAAATCTGCTAAAAGTTCATAACAATTCAAAATTATCCTGTATAAAGATATCATATGACTTCTGAAATAGACCAACTATTTTACAATCATGTGATTTCTGTAGTATAAATTCTAGAAACATGTGAATGGAAACACATCATTTTACTCCATCTTTTAAGTTGCAATTGTAAAATATTACTTTAAACTGATGAAAATGATCTCATTAAACAGCAGTAAAGCCAGAGAAGCCACTGTTTACTTCCATAGCATTATTATGGAAAAACTGGCCCTTTACTCCTGTCAAACACAATGAGCTAATCAAAGTTTTTAACATTCTTTGCTATGATGGCTTCAAATAGAAATGGGGACAACTCATCTGGCTTAAAACATTTACACTCAAACACAAACCTTGAGCAGCAGGTCAGGAAACACTCCCAATTTTGCCAGAGGGCTAGTGGCAAACTTGACTGTAGCTACTGGTGCCAAGGCAAAGAACATTTTTATTTTCTTAGCCAGATGTGGCAAAGTTGAAAAAGCAATGAAAGCTGAAAATAAAGGGAGAATAATTAACAAACCTCACTGAAACCATTTAGATGTGAATTTTACCAGGCAGTGCTTCTAGAAAATCTAACATACATTGTGTGTACAGAAGAATTTTTAGATTAATAACGTGACTGTTGTCTCTTGGATCAGTTTAAATGTTTTAAATTAATCTAGTTACTATGTAACACAAAAGAAATGAGGCAAGTCAGAAGGATTTGTTTTCTTCTGAAAAACAAATTCGTGCCAACTAACTCAACACTGTTTTCAGCTCTTTCTGTCTGCAGATCTAAAAACATCTTTACCAGGCCTTATATAGAGAAAAAGCATCATGTCTGATGATTCTAATTTTATTACACACAGTTCACCAGTTTGTTTTAATAGTAACTGTACTGGTGGGTACCTATGACTTCAGTCTATCTTTTCAACAGCTTCCCCCTTTAAGTAAACATAAAAAGCTTAATTGTTTTATTTTTAATGTTGATGAATATTTCAGGAAGCAGCTAAAATCCAGAAGCAGTAGATTTCAAACGCCTTATTTTTTAATCATTAAACCACATATGTGGAAGTTGATACAATTTCAAGCACAATGTATTCTAATGTATGTATCTCTTCACATACCCATCGTGGTGCCCTGTGAATGGCCGATGTAAAATACTTGTTCCTGGCCAGTCTTTTTCAAAATGAAGTCCACTGAGGCTGGAATGTCATACTTAGCCATTTCATCAAAGCTACAAAACAAAGATAAAATGTCCATTGTGTAAGTAAACTATCAGTGTGGGACAACTGTACTGCAGATCGATTGATCTGGACATGAATAAAAGCTCCCTTTAGACGAGGCAGAATGCTCTGTTGATTGAGTCTTCTCACCAAGCACCAGTTAAAGCAATTAGCATTCTACTGACCGTGTATGAAGGCTACCTCAAGACACAGTAATGACCATAAAACTCTGCTTTACAGAGTTTTATGTGTGCAGCACACATAACCAGGAAAAAACAAAAACAAAAACAAAAAAACCACAAACAAAACACTCTTGTACATTCACAATGTGGCTGAACTGAGATGACAGGCAAAGAGTGGAAAAGAAACCTACTTGCAAACAGCATGTGTAGTTTCTCTAGTTTGTCTAGCAAAATGAGGGTACCTGAAAACCCAGAATTCTTCTTGCTTCACTGTGAAGTGTATATGTTTCCTGGACCAGGTGTTCCCTCTGCTGTTTCCCAACCATACATCATAGCCAGCATCTGCCAGCATAAAGCCAAGGCTGTTGTAATCCAGGTTTGTGATCCAATTGCTGGCATCTGCAAGCAAACCATGCTGCAGGAACACAGCAGGCCTTGGACCTGAAAAATAAAGCATTTATCATAACTTCCTGTTCACCCAGAACTGAATGGCTAAGAATAATTCAAGTGATTTATTGAAAGTCTGCTTTAGATTTGCACTTTGAATATTTAATCTACTTGACTTGATCTAAGATTAGCAATTTGTATAATATTCATTGTGCCATGAAATTAGGTGTTTTCACAAAAAGCTATGTTTTATCATTAAGAATTTTAAACTAGCAACTTGTTAGTTTCCTAACTAGAGCAAAAGACTCTTTGAATTTCAAAACTGAGAGCAGACGTGCAGTCAGAAAACATGAGAGAAGCGGGATCTACAAGAAAAATACAGGCAGCCCTTAATACTGTTTCAAGCTCACAAATACTAAGCAAAGTGGCCCAAACACAGAGATAGCCAAATTACTTATGACCCTTGCCTTGCTCCTAAATCTAGGGAAGGCATTCCCATATACATGTTACTGAGATCTTCGTTTTCCAATTAAGACAATGCCAGACTACAGTGATGAGCTGGAAATCTCTGCAAAGGGTACTGATATTATCCCTGTGCAGCTCCCCTCCATTGCCAAAGTTCTGGCACAACATGAAGTACAAGTAGCGAACAAGGGGATCTATGTCTCAGAGGATTTTCTCCCCTTGACCTTAGTACCACAGGACCACAGTCAAGGTGGAATTTAGGAAGCCTCTCTCCTGACTTACCCACACTGAAATGGGAAGTGACACCTTTATGTAGAATGCAGATTTAAAAACCTGAAGGTTCCTGCTTCTACAAAATAAAATAACATATAATCCCTTCAGAGGAACATGACCTTCATAAAAACCAAGGACTTGTCTCTGGATCTTGCAGTAGCACAGGTGTTCTGCCTTAATAACTGAAATCTGATAAGATAGTAACTTTAGCTCAATGCCAGAGATTACTCAGGAATTTACCACCTCCAATGACACATCATTCTACGACAATACTAACTCATATAATACTTCCTCCATTTACAATTTAAACTAGGATCTTTCAGCAAAAACACCCAAGTCACAACCACTTCATGACCCTATGAAAAGCATGCAGGATTTTCAAGCCTAACATTAAATTTGTTTTCATTAATGCCCACTTTCAGCTTTGATAAGTTCTTCCCTTCTATTAAACTTGTATCAACTAAATTCTGATTTTTTGAAGAGCAGGTTCTCCTCCTCCTACTTGCATGTGTCGTAACAGAGGAAGGGCAAAGCTGTTTAACTGTTTTAATGCTTCAATTCTGTTCTCCTACTGGCCTCCAATTCTTGCCAGTTCCTTTTTCACTTTACTAAGCAGTCATCAGATCTGCACATGAACTGCACAAACACATGACAAAATTACTTGGACAATAATAATTTTGTATAAACTCTGATCCTAAAAACCCCAGAAGGGAAATAAGAAAGGTTGGCCCTTAAACAAGCCTTTCCACAACAGAACATTTTGTTCTACTCACTGCACCCCCAAGAATATGAAGACAAATGTATTTCCATGCCCTTGTTACCCATGCTATGCATGCTCAGTTAATACTAAAACCAAAGACCATTGATGTTTTGCTTTTAGGTTCCCTGGACATTTATTTTTTTTTTAATTGAGGAACTGCAGGTTTTGTTCCAAAACATCATGTGATACATAATTCCCAGGGATTCTAGTCACATTATGCAGGTATTGCAAAAGAAGAATTATGACATATATACAACAAGTCAGCACTAACACCTCATCAGTATCTTTCTGAGAAAAGATACCAAGTCTATAAAAACTGAAGATCAACATGAACTTTGAAGTCTTCATTCTTCTAGGAGACTATACTTCCCCAAATGTGCTCAGTAATCCTTGTTTTTAAAATTGAAGCACTTTGCAAAACATGAACTTGGGGTCGAGGGTGTGGCAAGGGGAATGTGGAGAATTTCCACAAGTAAGGAAACCTCTGTTCGCTTGTGTCATCAATGAAGGCTTTGACAAAATCAACAGGTACAAAGGCAGATGTCCTTTTCCTGGGGGTGTTTCTGAAATTCTTAAGTACAAAGACACCTGCGTGGTCTGACTGGCCTCGTCCAAGCACTGATCTTTACACAACCACCTTGCAAGAGGCAGCAAATGGTGCAAACATCCTAACTTATACAAAACCACAGATAAGGTCAGGAAGGCTGTTGCTTTGCCTTTGGCAGAGAGGTTTTCCGCAGGTCTTGTTCGCACCCAAGGCTATAGGACAATGACTAGTGTGTTTTGTGAGCTCCATGTTTTTACCTCTCCTCCTAGGGTTTTTCTCAGTTCAAAGGGTTCTGAGGCAGTCCTCAGAGAATATCTACAGCTTCTGTGCAAACAGGCTACTGTTGGATACATGGGATTGTCTGTAGGATACTTTATAATGGGTGGCAGCAAGATTAATACAAAACTCATTTACTGCTGTTCAAATACACTGTTAATTACATATGCAGTATATGAGGATAGCAAGTCAAAGGCAACATGTCTCTCCTCTTCAACATGTATTTGTCTCTTTTTTTAAGCATTCCATCATGCCATCCTTGCAAAAAAACCTTCACTCATATTGCACCTTTAAGTTTCTGCTTCCATGCAATCTATCCTTCCTCTACCATACCTCCTCACTCATACACCCCCTGCATCCCTTCTGTGGATTTAGACCAACTTTCACGGCAATTCCTACAGCTCCTAACTGAGCTCTGGTGGCACATGCCAATGCTCCTCCTAGTCTCCTCATCAAATCATATCCATAAGACAGCCTAGTTTGGGCTACCTGTTGTCAACCATCTGTTACAAATCCTAATTTGCGATGTGGTTTTAAATGTATTGTACTTAAGATGTAGTCAAGAAGGCATTTTATCTTATTATAATTTTTATCCATTTACACAGCTGTGTAAAGTTTGACACCCCAGTAGTATGCAATATTTGTCTGGCTTGTACCTTACTGCAAAGGGAGCTTCAGAGACATTAAAATTAACAAACTAATTCTCATTTCATGCAGAAATTAAGCAATTACTATATTTTGTGAACATTCTAGTGGGAATTCTTGTGGTTCAGTCACATTTCACCAAAAGAGGTGTGTGAGCTGCCCCCATTTCTGAAAAAAGGTCTGGCATTTTTAAGAAACTTACTTGTTACAAAGAAGCTTTTTTTTTAATGGTGTTTTAAATAACCCAACAATGTTACAATCAATCTCTTTTCTAGATACTTCATTACTTCAAAAATCCAGTAAGTTTCAACCCTTATTTTCCACTTCCAAGAAAAAACAGGCCTCTCAACCCCTCAAAAAATCCAACAGCAACAAAGGGCTTGTATTACTGTCACAAAAAGGCAATGCCAGGAAAATAAAGGTTTCTAACTTCTTCCGTCACTCAAGTAACTCTACATGTGCCTAATCTATTTGGGCCAATCTACATTCTCTGTTCATTCAATCTACATACTTTGGCCTAATCTACATTCACGAATAAAATACTCTATCAGGTCATAGAGTCTTTAGGCTTTTTCTGTATTATTACAGTAGCAAAAGTTTTATAAATCAAAGAGAGCTTTTTCATTACTTCCCATTTTTCCAAGTGGACGTAAATCTTACCTTTGCTCCTGTCACGGCCTTTTCTTCCATAAGGAATTCTGTTAATGGAAAGGATGTAGCCATCTTCTGTTGTTACTTCATATTCCTCACTAGGGTATCCCCTGAAGGTAATAATTTGACTCTGAAGAAAGAGAAGAAATTGCCTTAGAGTCAGACTGCCAGCCTCCTCAGTTCATTAACATATGCAAAGTATTCTGGGTTTCTTTCAAAGACAGATATGTGAAATTAAAGGATGTGGTAGGACAGTGTCATACCACCCACCTATTAAACACAAACCGGTTTTCTTATGAGACTTATCCCAGCATAGAGTCAGGAACCAGCCAGTGCACAAACCTCACACTAGTAGTTTGGGAGGACCGCCCAGGCTGTCTCTATCCACCATCATCTTAGTTACTCACACACTGCTACAGTGAGAAAGGAGATTGAAAAGGAGATTTCAGTGTGGTAAAAGGAGATTGTGCTAACACAGCAAAACACCAAGATCTGATTTCAAAGACAAAAATGGAAACTGCCTGCTCTGAAGGAGAGCAGTATCTTCCAGTAACAAAGAAGCGCAGACACCAAAAAGCCACTGGCACCACAGCAGCATATGGAAGAAAAGGAAAGAAGAGTTCATCTCCCCTAAAGGAAAAGGCTTCTCTAAAAACATCTCAGATTTATACCTGAACTTTATACTATGTTTTACAGAGGACACAATCATGTTTATGCAATATGCTGAAATCAACTACAAACACAGCAGCTTTCAAACAGTAAGGCATGTGTGAAGCGCTGACACTGCAACCTCAGCTCGTGGTTTCATTGCCATTTCTCACTCGACTTTCTCCTCAAACCTGATGTCTGTTGCAGAGCTTTTAAGTGACTTTGCTGACAAGCCTAACAAGAAAATAATAATTTAAAAATAATTTTCAAAACCCACTTGTTTAACACTATGGTTCCATTAACAAATTTATGTCTCACCTCCTATGTCTCAGGCTTTATGCGATTTTAATTTAACTTCTTCAAGACAGAGACAGCTGTTTAACTGGTTTTATGACACCAAGCATGCCTAGATAAAATTTAAGAAATGCAAGATACCATTTGAGTTCTACTCATAGGCTGCTGGGCAGTGAGAAGGAGCATTTCATTAAAAATGTCATCCACAGTGACATAAACGTTCCAAAATTATTTTAAGGCTAAATTCCATTTGAATATTATTAGCCTTAAACTAAATTAGTATTTTCAGTCCTCAAAATCATATTTAGATTATACTGACAACTCAAGCACACCTTTTCTTATAGACCTTAAGCACCTCTAACATGAAGTATCCTCTCACACATGTGAAAAAATATCACAAATTTAGATGGGGGCAGGAAAGAGGCACTAACACCAGTTACCAACAGCAAATATTTTCTGGTGTTGGCTATTGCGGCAGAAGGAGAATGAAGTTAAGCCAGTAAATGCCAAATGGAAGAGAAGCAGTCGTAGCTGGGAACACGGGAGGATGGAGCTAGCAGCACAGGTGCGCTTCACAAACACACGCTCTTCTAGCAGCGAAGGCAAAGAGCGGTGTCTCCAGCAAAAAAACACAGGTCTGGATCGGAAAATCCGCAGGAGAAAGATCAGCCACATGCAAGAGGGGACCAAGAGGAACCCGGCAGGAGGCGAAGAGAAGGGCGAGGCAGCAGCAGAGGGTGCAGGCAGCCCCG